TTCATTGAATTGACTTTCTCTTCTTTCCAATCCTCTACACTTGCTTCTTAAGATAATTGCTCAGCATGAAACCTCCTCATGCCTTGTACTCTGCATTGCAAGGAATGCAAGCTGAGCACCCCCATCTTTACATACACTCCTCCTGCACAAAACCTGCCTGTGCCATTCCACTGGCTCTTCTCCCTCCCCGCAGATGCATGCTCAGCTCGGTGGTATTTTGACAAACCATTACTGACTCCACGTGCCCTTTCAAAATCTTCAAATCTATATTAGCAGTCAAATCATTAAAAACTGCTTAACTCTCATAGATTTCACGAAACAATCAAAACCAAATATATGCAAGATCTGGGGGCCAGATGGTGACACAGCAGTATAACATGATGTTCTGCAAAGCAATCCCACATGGGAGGGTTCCCAGTTCAAGCCCAGATTCCTCCCTGAGTAACCAGGCACAAGCAAATGCCCATTAACCCAGGACCAGCTGAGGCTGAAAGTGGATCCCGGCATCGGGACCCTGCTGAGAGTGCTATTTCTCTCTCACTCGTGAAAAAATAACAAATTTTAAAAATATCTTTCAGAAAAATACATGCAAGGACTAAATGTATATTGTTTGAATACTTTTTACATCACCTTAAAGTTAATTGCCTGTAGGGCCAGCCCTGTAGTACAGTTAGTTGTTAAGCCTTTTGCATAGGGAGCTGGATCCACATGGCTGACCTCAGTCTGAATCCTGGCCCCTGTAACACACTGGGCATGTGTGTATGTGTGACCAGGACCCAGACAGGATGGAGAGGTAGAGGAAGGAGAATTGGGACACGGCCACATCCTATTGGGGGTGCTCTCCCTTTCTTTCTTTCTTTCTTTCTTTCTTTCTTTCTTTCTTTCTTTCTTTCTTTCTTCTCTCCCTCTCTCTTTCTCTTTTGTCCTGTCTGGTAAGTGCACACACCCTACAACAGTAAACTAAAACAGAATAAAATAATAAAAAAGTGAATTACCTGTCATCACAAACATATGGCAGAGGTTTGGAGTCTGACCCTGTTGTTGACTTACTGACATTTCCACAGCCCCTTAGACTGTCAGGATATGGTACTGCTTCTCAACCAGCTCTCGGTAAGTATGAGAACTTTTAGAATCTACGTAATGAGAAAACATGATGCCAGTCTGAAAGTTTCCATTGAAATGCATCATGATTAATAAGTTTCTTAAAAGGCTTAGCCACCTCTTTGTCTTCACTCCCCAAGCCCAACTTACTTACTCCTTATCCTACCCCTTCTGGTTTCTAGTCCCACTTCTCCCCTAAAACTACACCCACCTTGGTCACTCTTGGCTTTGTAGGTCCTTAGCAAAAGCATTAGGGGCTAGACAGTGGTGTGGGGGTCACACGGCGTTCTGTGATGCTGGTCCGCCACAGGAAGGTCCCAGGTTTGCATCCCAAGGCATCCCTGCACATGCCAGGCTTGCACATGCCTGGCTGAGGCTGGGGATGATCGAGGCACGAAGACCCTGTTAAGACTGACACTCTCTCTTCCCCTCTCACTCTCGCTCTCATGGAAAAAAATTAACTTTATTTTAAATAATTATTTCATTTAACTTCATTTAATTAATTAATTAATTTGTTTATTTATTTTAATTTGACCAGAAAAGGTCATGGTTTGGGAGAGAAAGTAAGAAAGCAAGCTGCCGGGTCCGGGACTCGAACCACAGTCAACCATGTGGGAGTCCAGTGTTTTTAACCACCACACCATCTTCTGGCTCCTAACTTTATTTTTAAAAAAGAAAAAAAAAAAGTAGGTCAGGCTCAGTGGCTTTTGCCACTAATCCCTGTCTTTTCCCTGTCACTTAATTCCTACCTAAAGTCCCCAGGTTCTGCCTACCCTTCCTGTAAATAGACCTAGAATTCAACCATCCTCTCTACCCCTCTGCTTCCAAGCCTAGTCCAGAGCCGGGTCTCACCTGCACCCCTGCAGTGTCCCACCCTTCTTCCTGCATCTACTCCTGCCCCTCGGATCTGTCCACAGAAGCAGCCAGACCAACCTTTCTGGAATCTAAAGTCACCACCTGTCACTCCTTTAATTCGCCACCTTCTTCAGGATGACGAGCAGGGTGACCTGGCATTTAACCCAGTGGGTCACTTACTGTTTTATCTTTTCTTTCCTTTTTTTTAAATTTGTCAGAGGGCACATGACCTGCCCATGGGCCTGGAAGAAAAAAGCACCCCCCATCCTCCATGGAGGATGGTCAAACTGTAATCCCTTCTCCATTTCTCCTTTCTTTTGGGACTTTGGGCACACACTTGCACACACGTGCCTGGCATGTTTTTCAAGTCACTGGGTCCCAGACGCCAACGTGCTTTCAGCCTTGTTGGATCCAGCTCACCAAACCTAGGCAGGGCCGTCTCACATTCTGTCTCATTAGCACCATGTCTGGCACCCAGCGGGCACTTAATAAATGTTTCCTGCACTTCCTGCTTCGCTCTCTCCTTCTCTCGTTCACATATGCAAGTGTTCTCTGTCACAAATGAAAAATAAAATAATAATAATTTTAAAATACCAGAGGAAGACAGAGGCCGCCCTCCCCCCAAGGCGGTGGAGGACGGGACCACAGGTCCATGTCAGCCCTGAGAGGCCTCCTG